TCATGTAGTGAATGGAAGTGTGTAGGTTGATAAGGACTAAGACTTCGGTAAGGAGTTTTTGCAAGCGAGTCCCCCACTGTCCTTTCTCCGGCACTCATCGGGGACACACTGCTTCTCCACACTCCTGCATGGCCATACCTTTAACATTATGACCCTGATGTTGATGGTCAACACCCTTTGCCCTGCCTTCCCCCATGCAGCCACTGGTCTTCAGCGGCCCTCCTTAATACCCTGCTGGTACTGCAGCAGGCTGAAGGAGGTACTTTATGGCTGTATTCCAGCTAAGAAGTGGATGGGCCCTTTGTGCATTCATGAGAAAGGGAACGGAAATGAGTAGTTTTAACTTCCACCTGTGCACACATCGTTGGCACTACGTCTGGCTCTGGTAAACTCAGTACAGCCTGCTGAAAAAGTAAGGCACTTTGCAAACGGTCTGTAATCTTCACACAAATGCGAGCCTGGAGATATTATTCTTATTTTACAAATTTAAAAAAAAAAGAGGCTCACAAAACACACACTGTCGTGCAGCCAGTTAGGGGGAAGGTTACGATTTAAACCCAGGCATCTTACTCCATGGGTCATCATCTTCCCACTCACCTAGACTTCCCTTCAAGCCCCCAAATCCCAAGATGTACATTCGTGTTTGATAACCACTGTCTAAGATATTGAAATGATCAAATGCCATTTGCGTCTTTTTGGCCACCACATACAGCTTTCACACATCTCTAAATATTAATTATACGTGTTTCCTCTTACAGTTCTCATTACACAGCAGCCAAAATAAATAAAATGTGCTTACCAGTGCAACTGTCCCATGAGGTTTCCCATCCATGTTGCTATTTCACCCAGACATTCAAAATAGGCACACGCACATCTGGGAACACATTTCTTCACTTGTGCTTTCTTCCCACTTCCTCTTATCGATGGAGCCACTCAGCCTTCGGCCGGGACTATCAGCCCATCTGCCCTCTCCCAGCTTTCTCACTGGGCACAAAGCGACTCCTCCCCCAGGACACATCCCTGCACTGGCAGGGCGCTGCCGCCACCTCCCCACCAACGCAGTCCCTAAGGGCCCTGTGTGGTCTCCTATGTGGTCTTCAGCAAGTTCCATCTTGGGCTGACTGTCATTTGACTTTTGCCAAGGCCGGGCTGAGGTCCCTGGTATTTGAGAGAATCAAGGGGCTTCATGATACTTGCCCTCGAGCAGGTCCATCTGCACACATACCAGGTGAGGGGTCGAGGAGGCAGGGACCCCGCCCCACCACAGTGACTTTGCACTGTAAAGAGAAACGTGTGTCCTGTGCCACATCTCAACCCCACAGCTCTGGTGCTGGTGGCGAGGAAATGTTGGAAATGGCCGGCTGACTCCCTCTGGTACTGAGTGTCATCTGCCCAGGAATAGCACATTCTCCCTTGAAGGAGAGTTATATTTTGTTTATCAAAAAAAGAAATGCACCCTAGCCCTGGCCGGTTTGGCTCAGCGGTTGGAGCGTCCACCTGCGGTCCAGAGAGACCCAGGTTCGGTTCCCGCTAAGGGCACGTACCTCGGTTGCAGTTTGTCCCCGGCCCTGCTTGGTCGTGCGGGTGGCAGCCACTCGATGTGTCCCTTTCACATTGACGTTTCTCTCTCTCTCTCTCTCTTACTCTCTCTCCCTCCCGCTCTATCTGAACAAAAAATGAAAGAAAAAAAATGTCCTCGGGTGAGGATAAAAAAAAAAAAAAGAAAAAGAAATGCACCCTAGCTGGTGTGGCTCAGCAGTTAGAGTGTCCACCCTGGGACCAAAGGGTTGTGGGTTCAATTTCCCAGTCAAGGGCATCTATCTGGGTTGCAGGTTTGACCTCCCACCCTGATCGGGGTCATGTGAGGGGCAACCAATCAATGTGTCTCTCTCACATAGATGTTTCTCTTTCTTTCTCTTTCTCTCTTCCCCTCCCTCCCTTCCACTCTATCTAAAAATTATGGGAAAATATCCTCAGGTGAGGATTAACAAAAAAAAAGAAATGCTGTGTCATCCATTACGTTTCCCTTTTGTCACAGCTCCTAGTAAGCTCAAGAGTTAAATTGAGTACTCATGTATGGTGATTGTCTCCTTCTCAGTTTCCAAAGAAACTGTCTTCTCTTTCCTGCCCTATGATTTCTGAGCTTTGGAAACACTAGAATTTTAGAGAAGGGTCCATGGTATCTTTTTGCTTGAATACCAATTCTTTTTGGAAGTTCTTATGAATATTGGATAGGGGGTTGAGAAAGCTAAATGTGGCGATATCACACTCCTCTCTTGTGGGGTCTTACTGATTGAGAAGGATATCAGAACCAGTTACACTGTCAATGTTATTATAAAGGGCACTGGGATTCCTAACAAATTAATAGGAGAGTGCGTCTTATATATAAGGTCTGTCGTCTCCCCCACCCACATTGTAACTGGTCTAGATCTGGTTCAGGGCTGACCTGTAGGAACATGTGGGTCTGCCCGGCTGATATATACCCGGACACGCCGATGAATCACGGCTTGATTCGGACCACACTGGTCACCAGGTGGAGGACGCCAGAGGTAGCCTGTCTCCTGGACTGGCTCTGGAAGAGACCCAAGCCATGGCCCAGTCGGCTCTCCCAGTAGACCAGCAGCAGAATGCTGTTGAGGCCAGGCCAGTACAGGAGAGAGAGAGAGAGAGAGAGAGAGAGAGAGAGAGAGAGAGAGAGGAGAGAGAGAGAGAGAGAGACCACTGAACACCAGTGATCTTTACCCAGGACCATTGCAAGCCATGGTGCTGGTTACTCACACAAGCTATTTGGCTTAGGGGGGCACATGACAGGGCTGAAACCCTGTTCATTCTGCTCCCCTTATGATCCATTCTCCCAGATGGCCTGCCTTATGCATTTAATCCACCTGAAGGGGGCACCTTTTTCCTAAGTCACACAAAGGTTCTGTATGCGCTACAGGGACCCTACTTTTACTCCAATCTTATGTAAGGCACTCCTCCGATGAGGAATGGCAGGTATGGAGGTTGGGGTGTTGGGAGCATGGAGCGAGTGACGACAAGTGATCTTCCAGCATTCTGTCTTGGGACATGGAGTAAATGACTGCTCCTCTCTGTCGACACATGAGGAGCCGAGGTCGTCTGTATTGTCCTCTCCTAATTGTGTAAGGACAGAGAAGGATAGGATACTAGGAGAGAGTACAAAGGAAAGAGGGAACATTGAATTGTTCCTGATTCACACACTCAGCAAGTTTTAACTTAGTGTCTACTGTGTGCCAAGAACAGTCCTAGGCATTGGAGGTTCTGTGGTGAGTAACAAGTCAAGTCTGCCAGAACACCGAGGTTTTGGTTTCCTTCTCTGTGTGCTCTTGGGCACATTATTCCCTCAGGGAGGTCATGACCCGAGCTCCTCTATTGTCAGCATTGTTGATGTTCTCTCCGAGTTCACACTTACTGTGTGTTTGGGTCTCTGGGGAGTTTCAGGAGCCACGTCCCTTCACAGAGTTCCTGGTTGGGAGATGCGTCCCCAGAGTCCCTCCCTGGTCTCTCCTTCAAACCTTCCGTGCTCCTCTAGGTTAAAATGAAAGCCATTTTCTCACCTAGTTGCCCAATTATTTGCCAAGGAAAACTGTCCGTAGGAATCCCCGTGCTAACAGGCGTAGCTGAGCGTGCAGAGTGGCTGGCGCACTGGGTGTTAGGGGAGGACGGGCGAGCTCAGCCCCAGAAGAGTGGGCAGGGCGGGTCCCCGAAGAAGCACGTAAGACAACGGAGGCATCTCTGCTTCACAGTGAGGACAACCGGGAGAATGTGTAACAGGGGATAGCAGGACCGAGTTTGCATTTGAAAGTAGTCACTAGCTCCATAGTAGAGGGGAGCCCATTAGAAAGGGGCTAATGCAGCAATCGGGAAGGACACAGTGGTGGGCTAGGTGAAGGAAGAGAGACTGGGGGGATGACGAGGAGGGGAGGGATGCAAAAAAAGTGGGGAACCGAAAATGGAAGACTTGGAGACTGGCTAAACGTGGGAAGGGAGAGAAAAGTCAGGAAAGAGTGCCCCCAAGTTTCTGGTTTGGTAACAGAATGGTGTCTGTGCCCTGCCAACTGGCCACACTGGCCCGTTAACCACAGCTGGGAATACGGAGAGATGGAAGAAAGGGGCCTGGGTGGACCACTCAGCTCCCCCACAGCATGCAGGACGCTTGTCGCCACATCGTTGAACTCGGGACCATGCACACTGTAGGCCCTGAGCCGATGTATGTGAGGTGAATTAATTTTTGTGAAAATGTGAACTGAACTCAAGTATTTACATACATAGACTTCACACTAGGTCTGACGGAACCAGCAGCCTGGACCCTCTAGAAAGGTCCCAAGAGAACACTTCAGTGAATGGGAGACATGAGAGTGGGATGGTGCACTCCATCCAACCCAGCATCCTGTTCAGTCCTGGAATCTCTCAGAGATTGACGGACTCCGTATAACCGTGTGGTTCCGATGGACTGTCATGGGGTTCCCTTGCAAACCACAGATTATCTAAAGTATCCCCTACTAGGTAGAACATTTATAGGAGACATATTATTTTCCCCGGATACCCCCTGGATGCTGTTACACTGAATCCTGACAGTAGCAGAACTCGGAAAAAGATCCACTTTGCCAGCACGCCACTGCTGAGTGTTGTTGATTTCTGCAAGCCAAAGATGTGTGTGACAACAAGGTTTTTTAAAGAAGAGGGAAACAAATTTATTCCATGCTCAGAAATACCAAACACAATCTTCCTGTAGTATTTATTTTGTTTTTGTTGAATTTAAGGCAAGGCATTTCTTTGGAGGAGAAGGGATCATTCTTCCCAGGGCTGGAGATTAAACAATTTAGTAGTCATTTCACGTTCAGCTCACAAAAAGGGGATTTGCATACGTTCTTGTTTCAGCAAGAAAACACATCTGAACGTGTTTCGTGGGAACTAACTCTAGTCACAGCAGCTGGTTTTGGCCATCATCTTTTTGTTTTGTTTTGTTTTCATCTCTGCAGGTCACCGGATTGAAACTATCTCAGGACCTGGATGATCTTGCCATTCTCTACCTGGCCACAGTTCAAGCCATTGCTGTAAGACACTTTAATGTCATTTTTATTTATTTTTATTTTTTTAAATGTTGCTAAAGAAAATCCTAAGGAAGAGAAAATACATTTACAGTATTTGTTGAAAAAAACTTACATAAGTGGATCTGCACAGGTCAAACCATGTTGCTCAAAGGTCAACTTGATTTTTATTTCTCTATAAATATGAAAACATACATTTTTTAAATTTTTTATTTTTAAATTACAGTTGACATACAACATTATATTAGTCTCAGGTGTACACCCCAGTGATTAGACATTATATAACTTACTAAGTGACCATTCCTATAAATCTCATACCCATCTGACACCATACATAGTTATTAGAGTATTATTGACTGTATTTCCTATGCTCTGCTTTACATCCCCATAGCTATTCTGTAACTGCCAATCTATACTTCTTAATCCTTTTACCTATTTCTCCCCAACACCTCTCCCATCTGGTAACCATCAAAATGATCTCTGTAGCTATGAATCTGTTTTTGTTTTTGCTTGTTTGTTTATCTTGTTTTTAAGATTCAATTGTTGATAAATATATATTTATTACCATTTTACTGTTCATAGTATTGATCTTTTTTCCTCTTCTTCTCCTTCAAGAAGACCCTTTAACATTTTATGTAATACTGGTTCACTGGTGATGAACTCCTTTAGCTTTTTCTTGTCTGGGAAGCTTTCTATATGTCCTGCCATCCTAAAAGCAAAGTTTCTATTGAAAAAAATCAGCTGACAGTCTTATGGGAGCTCCCTAGTAGGTAACTAACTGCTTTTCTTCTGCTGCTTTTAGGATTCTCTTTTTGCCTTTAACCTTTTGCATTTTTATTATGATTTATCTTGGTGTGGGCCTCTTTGGGTTCATCTTTGGAACTCTGTGCTTCTTGGACTTGTATGTCTATTTTCTTCACCAGGTTAAAGAAGATTCTGTCATTAATTTTTCAAATAGGTTTTCATTTCTTGTTCTCGCTTTTCTCCTTCTGGCACCCCCATGATGCGAATGTTGGTATGCTTAAAGCTGTCCCAGAGGCTCCTTAGACTATCCTCAGTTTTTGGATTCTTTTTTTGTTTTGCTCTTCTAATTGGGTGTTTTTTGTTTCTTTATATTCCAAATCATTTTTATTCTCAGATTCATCTATCTACTCTTGATTCCCTATAAATTTTTCTTTCAGTTAAGATATCCTTCATTTCTGACTAGTTCTGTTTTATGGTTTCCATGTTCTTTTTTATGCTGTTGAAGTTTTCTCCAAGTTCATCTATACCTCCCCTAAGTTCGCTGAGCATCCTTATAACAAGTATTTTGAACTCTGCATCTAGTAGATAACTAGTCTCCACTTTTTTGTTCTTTTTCTGGAGTTCTTTTCTGTTCTTTCACTGGGGACATGTTTCTTTGTCTCCTCATTTGGGGAGCCTCCCTGTATTGTTTTTATGTATTAGGTAGAGCTGCTAAGTTTCCTGGGCTTGGTAGAGTGGCCTAATGTAGTAGGTGTCCTGTAGGGTCAGTGGCACAGCGTCCCCATTCACCTGAGCTTGGCACACCAGGTGGCCTGTGTATACCCTCCTGTTGCAGTTGAGCACTGACATGTCAATGGGGGTATTTACCTCCAGGTCTACTGACTGTGTGACTGGCTGCAAGGACCGTGGAGGATCTGCTGTGCAGGGGCCCACCCCATAGAGCAGAACTTACTTCAGCCAGGCTCTGGTGCTGCTGAGTTCACTCCTTGACTGTGCCACTTGCTGAGGTGGTTGGATGGTGCTTCAATACGGTCTGCCTCTGTCCACTGGGTGCACTGGCCCAGCTGTGAGCTAAGGCTGGCTGCTGCTAGTGCCAGGACTGGGGCCACTTAGTGAGAGGTTTGGGACATGCCGAGGCCAGACGCTGCTTGTTTGAGAGATTTTAGGGAAGTCTGAAGCATGAGCCAAGACAGGCCATTCATATGGAAAAGTCACTGGAAACAGTTTGGGTAGGCCCACAATTTGGGTGGGGTGGGGTCTCAGAGAATCCCCAGGGTGGGGCAAACAGTGATAGCCTTGTTGATGGAGGCTCAGATACAGCGCCCGCCTGCCAGCTCTGTGTGTGTGTGGGGCGGGGGTTATCTCAGAAAAGGAACAATGGCCTTCGCCAGCACTTCTGTCTGGGAGAAAGCTGCCCCTCCAGCTCTCACCTGATGCCAGGTAGTTCAGTTCCTCCCCATGTGTCTCTGGTGCCTTTCGAGCAGTACTGCCTCAGTGCTGGAGCTCAGAGGGGGTGAGTCCAAGTAAGTCTGTGTGCAGGCCATTTAAGAGGAACTGCCTGGGACTCCAGGATCCTCAGTCTCCCTCAGCCTCAATCCCTGCTGGTTTTTACAACCAGAAGTTATGGGGACTTCTCTTCCTGGTACTGGAACCCTGGGCTAGGGAGCCTGGTGTGGGGCTGAGACCCCTCACTTCTCAGGGGGGAACCTCTGCAGCCAAGATACCCCTCCCAATTTTTATCTACCATACATGGATGGGGCCAGCCTGTTGCACACCTCTGCCCCTCCTACCAGTCTTAATGTAGCTTCTTCTTTAAATTCCTAGTTGTAGGATTTCCATTCAGCCAGACTATAGGTGGTTCTGAATGATGGTTGTTCTGTAGGTTAGTTGTAATTTTGATTTGCTTGTGGGAGTTTTAATGCCGTTTTTAAAGAGACGTATGGTATCAATACACCTTAAACCACATGCTTCCCAACATGTTTCTTTTGTGACAGAGAGTCTCAATTCAAAGGGAGCTTGCAAAAAGGGACTGGTGTCTGTGGAGAAGGAAATCTTGACAAAGCCCTTCACCTGCTGTATTAATAACCTCAATTAGCTGAAAGCCGAAAGGTGTTAATGTCTTTCAACATCATACTTGTCATTTATCTAAGTTCAATTAAATAGAAGCAAGAAGCAGATGCCATGTTGTTCATGACATTGTTCACTTTGCAAAAAAACTAATTATGGGGTTTCTTTAAATAGTAAGCTTTCTTAGAACACACAAGTGTTTGTTTCTAGATAATTAGCTGCTTAAATGAAAGTTTGAGATGAGGGGGGAAGTTTGAGGTGAGGGGGGAAGAATTTAAATCTAAAGTGTAAGGAGCTCCTAAACTGAATGTCAATCAATAATGGAAACAGCCCTGGCCGGTTTGGCTCAGCAGTTAGAGCACTGGCCGGCGCACAAGTAAGGCACAGGGTCATTCCAGTTGAGGGTATGTACCTCGGTTGCGGTTTGTGCCTGGTCCTGGTTGGGTCGTGTGACATGGAGGTAACCAGTCGATGTGGCTCTATCATATCGATATTTCTCTCTCCCTCCCACTCTATCTGATAATAAGTAGAAAAATATCCTCAGGTGAGGAATTTTTTTTTTTTTTTTTTTTATCCTCACTCGAGGACATTTTCCCATTTTTTTGTTCAGGTAGAGTGGGAGGGAGAGAGAAGAACAGAGAGAGAGAGAGAGAAACATCGATGTGAAAGGAACACATCGAGTGGCTGCCACCCGCACGACCGACCAGGGCCGGGGACAAACTGCAACCGAGGTACGCGCCCCTAGCGGGAACCGAACCCAGGTCTCTCAGGACCGCAGGCTGACGCTCTAACTGCTGAGCCAAACCGGCCAGGGCCTCAGGTGAGGAATTTAAAAAATGAAAAATAATTCTAAAAGCTCAAACAGGGTTGCCTAAGGAGTCTTACTCTCTGGAGATGATCCATGAGTGGGCTCCAAGAGGCTGAAACCATACATGAAAGATTGTGTGTGTGTGCATGTTCAGAAGGGCATTTTGGGGTAGTGGCTCCTGGCTTTCAGGGTCTCAGAGCTTGTAGGAACCCCAAAAATAACAGATGTTCCAGTGAGATTTAGCCGCTATGAAAAGAAAGTGGGGACCAACAAAAGGAAAAATCAGGTGATTAAATTCAGATTCAAAATTCATTTTCAGAAACGTACATCCCTATTTAAACCAAGTTTTTTTGGTTGTTGATGCTCTATGGACATATTTCTACGCTGTTCAATTACCCCGTGTCTCCATACCTCTTCCATAACCTCATTGCTTCAAATAATAGCACTACATGCATTTCCCCCACACATCTGCCTCGCCGGCAAAGGTGCTTTCCTTATGTTCAGGCGTGTCCAGGCGCCACGCACATCTGATAGGCGAGCAGAAGCTCCCACCCACGAAAGGAACATGTGGTCGTTAATGCAGCTTCGGAGGAGTACAGATTCAGCCAACTTGATGAAACAGCCCTTCTAGTTTATAGACCAGTTTGCATTTATTTTTCTGAAGCAACTATCTTACTGATTTAACTCCTTGGCCAGTTGAGTGAAATCAGTCAGCCTGCTTTATTTACGGGGACTTGGTCAAAAACAGACGGTGCTGACATCCTTCTAAACAAAAGGAGTGACCAATAAGATGGAAATGGAGAACAAAAGTGAGCACCCCGAGTAAAAACAGTTGTTAGGGATCCTGTTTTATAGTCATGATGATAATGATAATAAATAATATAGTTTTGGAGTATGATGTGCCAGGCACTGTGCTAAATATTTTACACGCTGTGGGACAACCTTATGAGTTAGGTATGAGAATCCCTAATCCACAGGTTAGAACCTAAGCCTCGATGAGGTTAATTCTCAGTTTCATACAGCCAGCAAGGGGCAGGGCTGGGACTGCCAATGTAAAACTAGACCGGTGATGTCTGCAGGAACTTTCATGTTCTGATTCATCCGTGTTACTGTATGGACAGTCTTATAGTAGAACGAATCACTTGCTGAAATGAATAACCCTAGAACATCAGAGCTGTGTGAGGCTCCCCTTTCTGTGTCCTCACTGAGAGGTGGCCATGAGGAATGAGGCCACACAGGATGGATCCAGGGGAACCACCACGTGATGGCGACTGTTACCTCTCACTGACACCCACTCTCAGTGCCAGGCACTGGACAGAGTGCCATACCCACCTGTGGCTTAAAGCAGTGACCTGTAAGTAGGTGAGACTGTCCTCATTGTAGAGACAGAGGACACCACTTCCTAGGTCAGAACAGCTCGTGTATGGCAGAGTCAGAATTTGAACCTCCTCTGTTTCACTCACGCTTCTGCCCTTTGCACTGCGCCACGCTGCAAATTCTTCGATCTTTTTGTAGAAGCTGCGTGGATAAATGAGCTTCCAGGCATTCCCAAGGACAGTTTTGACTTGGCACGTCTTAGAAAACATAGCTAATTGGGCCACAGAGGTCCCGTGCCTGCTAAGAACACCGCAGCAGAAGTCTACGAATGTATAAATGAGGATAAACTGGATGTAGGTGGTGCGTGGGGGGTGGGGGTGGGGGGATTGAGTGGGGGCAGAGCCCACTACATTTTCCCAAATACCACACACTTGGAAAATCAATCTTATATTAATGGGCCGTGCATGTATTAAAAGCGATCGTATTTATTTTGTCTGTTGACTTAATGACCTTTACATTACCACGAAGGGAGGGCAACGTAAGACAGCTTTTTCAGTAAGGCTTTATTATGGAGTCAGTTGACTAGTGAGGGGTTCAGTCTGTTTTGCAAAAGTGTCTGGATGTGCTGATTTTTTAGGCAAGAATGTGCATTTTAGTCAAGCATGCTGGTGACAGATATTTTTCTGTAATGTTAAACTTACAGATACAATTTTATTTCATTGGTTCCAAATACGGCCCTAGCCCCTATTTCTTGTCCGTACGTTCAACTTAAACAAATTGCTCCCTACAGAGTGGAATTGATGACCTGTTGTGATGAAGTTAACTTGGGACTGTGCGAAACCTCCACGAAGTAGAATTCTCTCTTGATGGCACTTCACTGAAAGACCTGTCAAACCCCCAGTGTATCCAGAGCCAGTCCAGCTATAGTTTTCTTTTCAGAACAGACCCTTCAAAAGTACTATTTGCATTTGAAGTCTCTCGATTTGCATTTGGTTCTCTACATTCCCAGTGGAATAGCCTAATTTTAATTTAAATTTCTCTTTGAAAACATTTTTTCCAGAAAGGTGAGCACAAAATCATTTTAGCACAAAGCCCTTTGGCGGGGCACCGAAGGAGGGTGGAGCGTGTCACAGAGTGCAGTCCGGACACCCACCCAAAGGGAAGGCTTGTAACTCACCGCCAGCCCGAGTGGGAAATTTCAGCCAACAATGCCACCGGGAGAGACAGGCTGTCACAGCCCCTCTGGAGGGAGTGCCCCTTGTCCGATCCTTTCTTTCCTTTTCCCAGGCCAGGGGCTTTGTATTACTCCCAACTCAGGCCTTCTAGTCACGTGAGCCCCAGGCCCTTGGTTTTAGAATCATCAGCAATATCAACTCTGCATGTCATTTCCATGCATATTGGGAGGCAGCCCCCATACCCCCCTGTGCAAACTCTATTGCTTTAAGAAAATCATGTAACTCCTATATGGGGATAGCAATGTGCCATGTTTTAATTTGTCATTGATTAGAGATGACATTTAAGTGCATAGAAGAGTGCTAATAACCAGAATGACTCATTTCTAAACACTTTCCATTTGCTCGACACTCTTCTGTGTACACAGTCTAGAGCAACAACCCTGCAAGGTAGGGCTTACTGTATTGCATGAAGCCTGAGACTGAATTTTAATTGTTTTCATGTTAATGCTGAAAATTCATAGGATTTTCAAATGAACAAACATAATATCATTATTCCCATTTAAAAAATAAGAATTGAGTCTTAGAAAGGTTAAGTATAGGTGAAATGCCTTCGTACCATCTTAGGTTTTTTAAATTCCAGAGTCATGATCTTAGCTACCACAGATTCAGGCCCCTAGAGTGGACAAGGGTTAGCTGTGCACCACGGACATCCAGTGACCCGTGGTGGAGACAAGGACAGCTGTAGACCTCTTAAAGTTATTTATCATATGATTCCGTATATGACTTTTTTTCTGGGGAGGTCAGTAAGGTCTATTATGTTCTCAAGAGAGTTCATAACTGCCAGAAAGCTTAAGAAAGAACATCTGGGGGTAATCAACCATAATCAATAAGCAGGATCTGGCCTTATGTGGTACAACATGTTTGAATTTTTTTAAAAAACACTGCAGCTGTGGATGGTCTTGGGCGGCCCAGGTTTCACCTAATCCATATTCCAGCAGATTCGCTAAGAGCGTCCACAAACCCCGCAGAGCCTGGGCTGGAGCTGCCCCTCCCCCTCGCCTTTCTTCCACAGCAGTCAGGATCTCATGCCTGGTCCCCAGATCGCCCTCCAGCCAGTCCCTCTCCCAGGGGCACCCCCAGCCCAGGACACAGCTTTCCAGGCAGCTTTGTCAGCTGTGTTAACGTTGCCATTTGTTTGTATCAACATCATGTAGCAACTGACAGAAGCAAACGGGGTCGTCCTCAAGGGGATTTTCAGTCCGGCAGGCCCAGGGTGGCGTGCCCACACTGGGATCAGAGACAGCCCCTTCTCTGGGTCAGCTTTCCGAGATGGGTAGGAAAGCTCTCGGGCAGTGTCTGGCGCTGGGTCGCCCTTGTAAGTGTTCTCTATCATTTTCTTTTGCTGGCACCCTGATGTTTCCTTCTGTTTCTCCCTTGAAGCTCGGGACCCGCCTCATTATTGAGGCCATGGAGGCCGCGGGGCACTCGATCAGCACTCTTTTCCTGTGCGGAGGCCTGAGCAAGAATCCCCTTTTTGTGCAAATGCACGCGGACGTTACCGGTGAGTGTGAGGAGGAGCGGAGGTCGGCTCAGCCTGGCCCGATCTGGACAGGGTTGAGAACAGGGGCCAACAGGTGGTGTGCCAAATTGTTTCAGCATGGGCTATGTTAAAATGTATTTGTTTAGGGTAACTCTGGAGTCTTTGTAGTCGTGATGGGGAAAGTGACTTCTCTGAGGATCCACCTATGGGATGATGGTGGGAAACGGGACTAGAGAAGTCCGCAGGGCTGGGCCCTAATTCAGACGTGCACTCCACAGTGATGAGCACCTCTTCTGATGTACACATCGTGGGGGAATACTGACGATACAGAGCTGAGTAAGATATCATTTCTGCCTCCAAGGAGTTCAAAGTCTGTTGAGGAAGGCAAATAGCAAACAGACGTGTTAAATGTAGTGTGGCGGGAGCTCCCGGTGGGGAAAGCACAGGGCATAACAGAAACAGGGCGGCCCCTCTCCCCGGAGGGGCCTGGGGTGCTGCCGGGCAAGTGGGCTGGGGGCGTGATAAGGAGTCTGTCTTGAAGGAGGAATGCAGAGCTCAGCGGCTGTGGGAACTGTGGGTCTGGCTGCAGATGGGAATTTGAGCCCTAAGATCCTGAGACCCTCACTGGAATCAGGGATCAGGACACAGATGGGGCGAATCCAGAGTGAGGGACAGATCTCTCTGTGATATGAGCAGACAATGTAGAGCAGGGTCCATAGAGCAGACCCCTGGGTCCCAAGGAAGGGGCCCCACTGGCAGGAGGCTTGCTGGTGTCACAGAGGTTGGCCCAGACTGCCCCCCTCTGCACCTGGTACCCTTACTCCTCTTGATCCTTTCTCTGCCAGTGTCTCCAGGGACTGCTGTTCCCCTCCCAGGACCCATCCCACGGTGGCCAGGCACCAGGGGAGGGCAAGGGGAGGGATGTAAGGGAAGACTGGATCCTGCTCATAGCTCTAGCTTGATACGAGCCCACCCTTAACTGGCCTCCATTTACCATGATGTCTCCCTGTGCCCCCATCTCCTGACTTCCTTACCTCTCAGCGGGTCAAGTTCTCTGCTCCTGACTCTGCCACTTCACATAGCCCTTCCCCCTCTAGACCATGCAGCATCCTACAGGTGAGAGCTTTCCCAAATGTGATGGATGTAACTGACCCCTCATACCGCGAGATCAAACAAAAGTTGCTTACCCCCATTTTAGAGATAAGTAGACTGAGGCACAAGCCAGAGGGCAGTATTAAAAAAGCACACAGTCTAAGGGCAAATATATCAGGATGTTAAGTTTAGAAATTACTGCCATTAACCAAGCTCCCACTGTACATTGGTGTGACTCCTTCCTTACAGATTCAATCCTCGTGTATCACCGAAAGGTAGAAATTGGTGCCCCCAATCTTCCAGACAGGGAAACTGGGGTTCATGGAGGTGAATTAAATTAAGTGTTCAAACTGAAATGTCCAATAAGGGGCAGGACCAAAATTATAACCCAGGTATGCTCTGCCCAGTTTGTAACCATCTGATGAGGACGACTCCTTTCCTGAGCGTGCAAAACCTGTGGCAGTGGGCCCTTCCAACGCAGAAAGAGAACAGACGTGGAAAGGCACCCAGATCACTTTTCCTTTTCCTCCGGAGAAAAACTATCGCCATATTTTATCTAAAACTCAGCTAGCCGGGTTCAGGTAAAAGTCAGATTTAAACTCTGATTCTGTGAGTGACTTTCCAATTCCCAGCCTTCTAATAGCCACAAAGACTTCCTACCTGGAAGAGAAACTCGGCCTGGGCTAACCCGTCACGGGAGGGAATGGGAAACGCCCCTCCAAGAGCGGGGCAGCGTGCCCCTGGGCCCCGACTCGGCTCTGCGGCTCGGCCTTCGTGAAAGTGGGTCCTCTCGCAGGCGGGGCGCCCCTGAGATGACTCAGAAGCAGGAGTGGTCGCCGCTTCACAGAAAGTCCCACTTTGGAACCCGTTCTTCAGGCCACTGAATGAAACGGCTGTTAATCGTCATTTGGATTCTGATTGTAACTGGACCCTTTGTCTCTGACCATGGACCAGTTACAGTTCTGACAAAGGGACCTTTTCTTTGGCCTGGAATTCCTCTGCCTTGGGAAGCCTGTGAGTGACAAGTGATGGCAAAGTGCATCTGCCTTTGAATGCTGCGGGCTCTGCTGAACGCATTAATGCATCAGATAAAATAGTTCACATTCCAGGCGAGGCTGCCTCCTTCCTTTCCTTTACCCGGCACTGGGAAAAAAGAACACAATGCCTTCGTTCCTATGAAAGGCACATACAAAAAAAAATTTTTTTTTGTAAGAGTCAAAGGCACATACAGAACAGTGGGTATAGAGGTAGATAGAGGCTTGGGTCCCTTTTAACATTGTAATTGCTCTGGTTTTTCTGCAAAGAAAGATTGCAGGGACCATAGGCCAGGTACCTGACTCTCAGGAATACATGTGGCAAACACAATGAATTCGAAGATGCTTCGGAGAAAGTGCGGAGTAATGGAAAGAGCAGGGTGGGGCGCGACCAGCTCTGCGACTCTGGGCAAGTCACCTCGCAAACTCTCTGAGCCTCATTCGCCTCTACTGAAAGATAGAAACAATATAATTTCCCTCCGGGAGGTTGTACTGAGGAATAAATACTCGTGAGTTGGCGAGCGCCACGCTCCGTGCCTGGCTCAAAGTGGGTGTTCAATAAATGTTAGTTCACGTCTTTCCTTAGGCAGCCCCACACCAAAAAGGACGTGTGTTTGAGAAGAAAGTTGAATGTGCTTGCATGCATCATTGCCATTTGGGGAACAGCCTGCTCCATGCACACAGGACGAGCGGCTTTGCCATCTCGGGGAATGTCCTCTACACGAGAGGAGGAATCTCATGGTGCCCTGGGCGTTCAGGGAACTGTGGTTTCAAGAAGTACTTGCTGTGTACTAAGTAATTGTAGGTTTCCCCCACTGACTTGGGACTAAATGTTCCTCCTTCTAGATTTTGGGTTTAGAACTGGCAGTTTCAGTCGAGGGTTTCCTCTTCCTGTCTTCTTCATGATTTTAATCACTTGTTCGCTTATTTTCCTCTGAAGTCTTCTCTGAGCACACCAGTGCGCAAGCACCGAGAGGGGCATGGGAGGGAGGGACACTGCCGTCCTGCCCCACGGTCCTTACAGACAGACAGCGTGCCCCCGCAGCTCCCGCCAGGGTCTCAGAGCACAGTGGGACCCAGAGGGTGCTGTGACCGTACGAGTCAGGTTCAGGCAGGGAACACATGACACTCAAACTGGAATACCTGGAGAAGAGCCAAACAAAGGGCTAACACAGAGGTGTGGGCAGGGTGTAGGGAGACCCTGACCACCAGGCAGCACCCTGGGGCTACTCACAGTCTTACCACCTCTAGCTTACAGGACCCAGGGCAGGAAGGTTACCAACCTAAGATTAAGGGACTGAGTGTGTAGGAGGGGTGGCAGAAAAGGTGGGATTGACCTGTGGGCAAATGGAAGCTGTGAGTTGGTTCCACCCAGGGTAACAGGTGTGAAGAGACTTCAAAGAAAAGGTCAACTTTAAGAATCCTAACAACTAGTGCTAATTTAGTGCTTTCTGTAAGCCAAGCTCTGTTTTTTTTGTGTTTTTTTTATCCTCACCCGAGGACATTTTTCCATTTTTTGTTCAGATAGAGTGGGAGGGAGAGAGAGGAACAGAGAGAGAAACATCGACGTGAAAGGGACAAATTGAGTGGCTGCCACCCACACAACCAACCATGGCTGGGGACTAACTGCAACCGAGGTACGTGCCCTTAGCGGGAACCAAACTGGGGTCTCTCTGGACCGCAGGCCGACGCTCTAACCACTAAGCAAAATCGGCCAGGGCCCAAGCTCTGTTTTAAATGCCTTACTCACAATAGCATTTTTAATCTTCACAGTAGCCCCGTGAGGTAGGTGGGGTTTTAACCCTGTTGTGCAGATGAGAAAACTGAGGCCCAGATTGGTTCACTAACTTGCCTAGGATCACACAGCTAAGTCAGCACGAGACGAGGATTCAAGCCCGGCAGTCTGGCTCCAGAGCACCCTGGGCTGCAGCTGGAGAGGGGGCTGCAGGACTCAGCAGGTTCACTCTGGCTTCCAGCTGCCAGTAGGAGGGGCCTGCAGCAGCGCCTCCCTGCCCAGAACCAGTGAGGCCTTGACAGGGCAAAGAGGGGCTTGAGAGGTGACATGCGGAGAAACTGTCTTTTACGAAGTCCCAGTGCAAAAAACAAAAAAATAAATAAATTAAAATAAAAAATAGGAAGTCCCAGCGCACAGGGCTGGTTGCAGGCGTGCTCTGTCCGCATGATCCCCGGCTTCTACACAGGCTTCGGTGCTCAGTCCTGGTCTGGCCAGTACAGCCCTCAGCGCGCCTGGCATCTGTCCTCGCCCTCTCGGTGTCCCCTCCCCGAGGCTCTGGTTTCCAGCCCAGGAGGAGTGCATGCAGAAGGGCTCCACTCTCCATCAGTATTGGTCCCAACAGCAGTAGCCACGTCCTCAAGGGCTCATCATAGGCCAGAAGTGTGCTAAGCAGCACGTATGCCCTTTCTCACTAAGCCTCACAGCAAACCTGTGTGCAAAATCTTACCGCCACCCCCATTTTACACATGGGGAAACTGAGGCCAAGAGAGTATATGTGACGCACTGAAGGACACAGGGCTGGTGGAACCACCTGATCCTTTCAGCAAAGTCTCCAGCCTGGCCCTGCAGGATGGGGCTGGTGCTCCTGAGTGCTTGGGATGTGTGTGGGAATTCTGCCCCCTGCCCCCTGTGTCTGGGACGGCTGGCCCGCCGGCCCGTCCTGCAGTGGGAGGGTCAGTTAGGAGACGGTGGGAGTGCGGAGGAGGTGATGTCAGGGAAGTCTTCTCGGAAAGGGTAGGAGGAAAAGTCCAGTCCTTGGGGGGGAAAAAGTCTAACGTCTTCAGTAGGAAGCAATTTTGCGGGTCTGGCCATAGAGCTTACCTCTGTGGAGTTTGCTGCCATCCCTAATTCGCAAATACATTGACCTTATTCATATTTTACATATGTTTTATTTATTATACACACGCACATGAATACAGTCCTAAGAATTCTAAATTATTTCTATTAAAGCCACTGTGAACCCTCAACCTCTGGGAGCTGGCATGCGGGGTGCCTCTCCCTGCCTGGCAGACCCCACTCCTCCTTCCAATGCATGCTTAGTCCTCCTCTCGTCCGATTCCCTCCCAGAAATGTGTTCTCTCGTAATTCCAGCGCTTACCATGTACTACATACTGGTCTCAATCCAGGGATCCAGCAGTGAGCAGAACCAAGTCCCTGCCCTCACGGAGCACATGGACTAGCAGGGCAGACAGACCATAATCAAGATACTTAGTCATACAGCATTGAGGGGGAGGGGGAGGTAGAGGGGAGTGAGGATCCCCGTGGGTGGTAAGCTGTCATCCTCAGTCAGATGGTCAGGGAGGCCACCGTGGGAGGAGGTGTTTGCACCCAGACCTGGAGAGAGAGGGTTCTGTGTGGACACAGAAGGAAGTGGCCCAGACAGAGGAACAGCACGGGTGAGGGCCCTGACGCAGAATGAAGAAGGAGCAAGGAGGCCAGGCAGTGTGGCCAGGAGGAGAGGAAGATCAGGGTGGGCTCCAGTCCCGTGGGCCTTGTCAGCCCTTGGAAAGGCTTTGGCTCGTACTCAGAGAAACGGAAGCCACCGCAGGGATTGACAGCCCGCTCCCTCACTGCTTCCCTTCTCTTGGTGCAGCTCCGTTTCAGAACTAACCCCTCCCTCCGTCTCATCCACCTCCCCTCTGAGCCCCGAGGAGCAGGACAGAGTCAGATTCATCTCTGTGCCCCCTGGGCCCAGCACAGCACTGAATGAATGTCTGTTGACCTGGAATGGAACCCAGGGGCAGGCAGCGGCGAGTAGAAGCCAGGGAGACCTGGACAGAAGGGTCTCCTGAGTTGATCTGTGCGGTGTTGGCTCCCATGGGGCTCTAGGCTAGTGCGCCAGCAGGCAGAGGCCATGAAATCCTTCTGAGCCAAGGAGTCCCAAGGGACAAGGAACCGCGGGGGATGGGGAGGAGGTGCCTGTTGCTACCTTCACATCAGGTGTTCTTGCTGCTGGGGCTCCTTGGGCTCCCCAGTGCCCGGGCCCTGCTCTCTAACCAAGGTGTGGCCTTGTCCTGTGCAGGCATGCCTGTGGTCCTGTCCCAAGAGGTGGAGTCAGTTCTTGTGGGCGCTGCTATTCTGGGTGCCTGTGCCTCGGGGGATTTCACTTCGGTACAGGTATGTGAGGAGCAAGGGGTGGGCTGTGGCCCCTCCCCTGCCTGAAACTGTCCTTCCTCTTGACAGCAGCTCACATCTTGCAAAACACACACAGGATATAATTAAGAAATGATAGGTTCCAGCCAGGGAAAGCACAAACACTTCTAGCCTCAGACATATTTATTGCCGTTTTCATTTGACTTCACCTCTGTTCGTGTCGGCCATTCTGTTTTTCTTGTTGATTTTCTTTTTCTCTCCCAGAGAAGAGCTCTGAACTTATTTCTTTAACATTTTACCTTGACCATTTTCTTTCAGCAGGTGGAACAGGTAAGGCTCAAGATTTCACTTTTTCCTATAAATGTTAGATTTGTATTTGCTTATTTCATCTCTACCCACCACTGTCCAAATACCTCTGAGTCTTCTATCAACAGAAGATATACATGAAAATGTTAGTAAAAAAGGAATTAAAAGGGAAAATAAGGAACAGAGATATAGGAAGAAGGAAATTGGTGGTGGTGATTGAACATACAATTTGACTCTGAGCTTCCTGGCAGCCAAAACAAAAAGAACACATGGTAAGTTGCATAACTCTTATTTTCAAAAAGAGGAAACATCCCAGTTTCTTGTAGGAGACAAAGATTTTCCTAACAACAAATTGCAAAAGATACCTCACACGTGGGGTTATAAGGAGAGACTTCGAGTGGTAACATAATAGTGTGATCAGCAGGTTTACAAGAAGGCAGAGGAGCCGCCCAGGTGGACCGGGGCGCACAGGCTGTGGGGCGGACCGCTTGGGCGCACGTCCTGGCTGCACGCCCTGCCGGCTGTGGCTGACCACTGAGCTCTCCGCTCCGCTGGTTTATCCGTAGTAACAATCAGTGGCACGTTGTGAGTTCTTTCCCTGGATCCGGAGCACACATTTAGTCCCATAACCGGTCATGCTGCTATCCCCATCTTATAGTGGAGGAACGTGAGGCATAAAGGAACTTAGCCTAGCCCACCAGTGTGTGCCCACTCTCCCGCGGGAAAACAAAACAAAACAAAACAAAAACAGAAACTTTGCCTAAGTTGAAACAGGTAATAAATGCCCAAGCCAAGAAGCCTGGCTCCTAAGTCTCAGTGGAGAGTTCAGGAAATACTTGTTCAGCTGAGCATCAGAGAGCTTAAATGACTTGCCCAAGGTCTCCAGGTTGGGCCTAGAAGCCAGGTTTTCCAACAATAGCTCAGTAATTTATTGTGACCCTCTTATGTACCGAGAACCATGCCAGGTGCTTTTCATTTAATCTTCCTGATATAACAACATCCATGGGCAACAGAGATGCAGAGAGATGACAGAACTTAAAGGTACCCATAGAAACAGACAGATGCAAAAGTCTGATTTCGATGTCTGTGCTATTTGTACACATTTTGGGAACTTTCTCAAACTGATGCCTGGGAAATATCCCTTTCAGGGAATTGAATCCAGTCGTGAATGCTTGTGGATTTTAACTGAAGTTTTTAAACAAAGATGGTTGAGTTGAACCTTCAACGTCTGGATTTTCTGGTTCTCAGAAACATTACACGGACCTATTTATTGTTGAAATGTCAGTGACTTGTCCATTGTTATTTTAATGTTATCAACTTATGAAGATATTCTCACAACTAGATGCCTCGCCCTTCCTGGGACAAATTATAGTCGCTAAACCAAAACAGTGGGGCTTGCTCAGGTCCTACATAGGTCCCCTCATGTTATGGATATATGTGCATGTTATGGATATATGTGTGAGTTCTCTCAAAATTCATACATGGAGCCCTGGCCGGTTTGGCTCAGTGGTTGGAGTGTCAGCCTGCGGACCAGAGAGTCTGGGTTCTGTTCCCGCTAGGGGCACGAACCAAAAGAAAAAAAAATTCATACATGGAAGCCCTAACTCCCAACCTGATGGTGTTTGGAGGTGGGTCTTTGGGGGGTAATTGGGGTTAGATGATACCATGAGAGCGGGGCTCTGATGGCAGGATGAGTGCCCCTGTGAGAAGACCCCAGAGAGCTGGTGTACATGCGTGTGCACCGCCTCCCCCTCGTCCTTTCTCCCCGGGTGAGCACAGCAGAAAGGTGCCCTGTGCAAACCAGGAGCACGGTTTTCACCAGAACCCGATCATGCTGGCAGTTCGCTTGCGAATTTCCAGCCTCTAAACTATGAGAAGATACTCCCTGGCCAGTTTGGCTCAGCGGTTAGAGTGCTGGCCCACAGACCAAAGAGTCCCAGGTTCGATTCTGGCCAAGGGCACATACCTCGGTTGCAGTTCATCCCTGGCCCAGGGGTTGGAGTCGTGTGGTGGCAACCAATCGATGTGTCTCTCTCACATCGATGTTTCTCTCTTTTCCTCCCTCTCTCCCTCCAGCTGTATTTGGAGATAAATGTAAAAATATCCTCGGGTAAGGATGAAAAAACAAAACTAAACTAAAAGAAAATAAATTTCTGTTATTTAAACACTCAGTGTGTGATATTTTGTTATGGCAGCCCAAGCAGACTAGGATACCTCATTTAACTTTGACCCTCTGCCTACCGGCAGGATGGACATTTTTATCCTTGTGTTATGTATGAGGAGACCAAGGCTCCGAGAGGCTCTGAGTAATCTGCCCAAGGTTGTAGTTAATAAGGGACAGAGCAGAACTGAAACCAAGGTCTCTCCGGATCAATGACTCTCCTGATTTTCATCCTGTTTCTACTTTGTGTGATTTTTTTCCCCTTAAATATATTGTTTGCCTTCTAAAATGTTTAAAGGTGTATTTTCTGAAAAGAAGTGTCACTGATCACAAATCAGGAACAAGTCTGCAGCCCAAACAGAGCAGTGTGACAAGACGGGGCTGTGCCCTCCGACACTCCACACCATGACTTATGACAGCTCGTTGGTCTCTTGATCAGACTGAAGTTTGTAGCTGGGGGAGGACTCCACTCACAATCCACACTGACGGCTTCACTACCTGAGGTTTCTCATTAATCTTCTGGAACAGAATCAAGATAAGGTCCACCGAATATTGGCACTGTTGATTTGATTAGCAGCTGCAAGGCTCACCACATCTTCTAGACAAGCTCAGGTCCCCTGTCCCACCCAAGGACATATGTGCCCCTTCCAACTGTTTTTAGTTGTAGCACACACTGTCTGGTGAAGATAGCCCCAGCCTAGACCTGATATCTTATCTGTCTTGCATGCCAGAGAGCCGTGTAGTATTGACCTCTGTGTTTGCCTGTTGTATAGCCTCAGACAATGTCACCTGGCCTCTCCAGGTGCTTTGTTCTTTGTTCTATTTCTTTTAAAAAATATTTACATAAGAAGAATTGCCACTCATGTGAGACTGTAGATAGGAAGAGCCTTTGAAATCTCTGGTGAGCTCCATGAGCTCCGGTTATAATGATCAACACCGTTCTATTGATTAGGTTTGGAACTGCTTTGGAATTGTGAATGCAGTAGGCTGGGCTTCATTCACCCCCCTCCCAAGAAGAGGTGCCAACCTGTCTGCCCCAGGCCTGCGACCAGCTCAGGGTTCTGGCAAGTTGAGGTGAAACAGAACTCTTCTTCTCTATCATTTATATTTTTCAACCTAAACTTCAATATAGTTTTTTTTTCTCCTTCTTTGAACTTCAATGATCCTAGCTTGGTCTTCAGGGTGCCTGCCACTCCTTTAAGACAACGGAGTAATATCTGCCAGCAATTTATTGATTCCATCAGGCCCAATGTTTTGTCTTCTATTTGGTGTTTGGATGGATGATTTCACTTCACATGTAGGTGTGCAGACTTGAGGAAAAAAAGCCAGAGTCATCTCCTCTGCACTGAAGGAAAAGCTAGGGAGCGTCCAGAAGACGCAGGCTGTGGACCTAGGGAGGGGCCCCTGTGCCTGGGGAGGCAGGGTTTCCCAATCTCCTAGCCCCGTGAATCGGTGACGTCAGTTAGGAGTAGAGCTACATACCTTACGTTGCTGATACCAATGGATTAGAAGGACTTACAGTTGTGGGTTTTACTTAGAGCTCTTGCAAATATCTATATATTTTAATTCCGGGATAGCTGTATCAGGTGCATGGAGTGGGACAGTAGAGGGAATTCTCTGGTGGGAGAGACTGGTCAGTGATGGGGTCCTTTGCTACTCCACATTTTGAAACCTGCTGACAATTCCAAGTGTCCACCTCGGGTTCTTTTATCCATTCACGTTCTCATTCTCTTGGTCTCTCTCTTTCCCTGCCTTTCCTGCACTCCCTTCCTTTAGACATCTAAAGCCTTCCTACCATTTCCTTTTCAAATTAGGATCTCACAAAGTATTGATAGAGCCTTCCATCCTCACTAAAGAACAGAATGATGAATAACATCTTAACGCATTATCCCTCTCCAGAAATGAGTGGTATTCTCCTTTTAGTCGTATTAAAACAGAGTCTCCAGTAGACGGTGCGACAAGAATCATGTCATGGTTGTCTCTAGAGCTACAGCTTAATCAGTAAAATGGAGTCAGACCCCAGAAATGCTACTGTCCTGGTGAAAGCTCAGCCACTGAGTAGGTAGGAGTGGACGCAAGGACGAGAGGCTCCCTGCGTTGGGTGGCAGGAGTGGAATGCAGTCTTGACCTTCCATTTGATCACTCCCTCATCCCGAGAAAGTCACCCATCGCTCCCTTGGCTGTCTGTGCGCTCCAAAGTGACCTGTGATTCTGAAACCAAAGAATTACAGTGAGAAGTTGGGAGCATCCCATAAAACTTCTGTGGTCTCCAGGCCCTAGAAAATTGACAAACTGGGAAAAATAAGTTTATGAAGTATCAATATGCTGACATTTTCGAAGAACGGCAGTAGAGAACTTCTGAGACATGCAAAGAATGCATAAAGCAAGAAACCCATTTCAAGTTGCCTAGAGAGTCCAGGCGGTCTGGCTCAGTGCTTGAGTGTTGGTTGTCCCAGGCACCAAGAGGCTGCCAGTTCGATTCCCGGTCAGGGCACATGCCCAGGTTGTGGGCCCAATCTCCAGTGGGGGGCATGCAGGAGGCAGCCAGTCGATGTTC